GATATGAAAGGTAAAAAAAGTGCCACGCCCACTCTAATAAAAGAGGAACAATCTACAAAGTCACATTTTTCTTGAATCTAGAGGGAAGTCTCAAGGCAACCAACTACCTGAGTTCTGAGGAAAGATAAGCACCTGCAAGGGGAGATGGGACACGAGCTCTAACTCACCTGAGGCTGCAGGGAGAAGACAGGGTCACCATAGAATCAGGCATAAAGAGTTCAGCTAAGTTTTTAATGAATTGCTAAAGACCAGATGTGGCCTCGCATGAGAGTACAGACAATGGGAGCCACAGACACAAGAAGAATTTATACACACTTGTGGGCTCTTCCTCGCAGATTTATGGTACAGACCTGGTGGACAAGAGAAGCCAGTACAATGGAAAAACCGTGAAACCAGGTCCAGTTTCTTTTCCTCTTATGAATAAAAGTCTTAAGCCCTCGGGGAAAGAAGGAAAGGCAGCAAACTGGTCTCACTCCTCCGCCCACGTACAGATTAAGACCTACTGCAACTAGGCAAAGGTAAAGAAATAAAGTCATTTACTTTAGGGGGAAAGGCAAGAACTGGTTCTGAGCCCAAATAATTAAAAATATCCTACCACTAGAAGAGAGGCAGGGCGACTGAGGAAGTCCCACTCTCCTGATCCAGGGCCACACCATCTGCTAAGAATGAGGTTTAAGCAGAAAAACAGACAACACCTCCCTGCCCACACCCTCCAGGCTAGCAGGCAATCAGTAGGAAGCAATAGCAGTACACCACTAGGGGAGGGGAAGAGCATGGACAGAGAACCTCTAGGAGGCGCAGACGCACATGGAAGATCTAAAGCTGGGGGTAAAGCAGGGCTATTGAGGAAAACCTTCCAGAAAACCAAAACAACACTATGCACAAGGTAACAGAGGGATCTGAAGCTAGCAGTGAATGAAGGGTAATCAGAGCAACAAGATAACCCAAATGCAGCTTATCTCCTTATTAGATTGATTCTGTCTCCTGCATTAACAACTTAGCTGAAAAAGTATGCACCTTTGAAGGCATAAATGTTGTTTGCGTCAGTCTTTACTGTTCTACATATTATGTGTGGCTTTCAGACAAAAATTTTGAGAAGACTAAAAAAGAAAGAAAAAAAAACTCACCAAAAAAAAAAAAAAAAAAGCAGCCAACATAACCAGCCTCAGAGGTGATTTAGATGTTAGAACTATTAGACGATTTAACATAACTGTGTTTAATGTGTGAAAGGCTTAAAAAAATTATGGAAAACATGCATGGATAAATGTGGGATTTCAGCAAAATGGTTAACTGTTGAAAAACAGTCAAGTAGAAATGCTAGAAATGAAAAACAGTAATAGGGCTGAAGAATGCCTTTTAAAGTCTCATCAGCAGACTTGAAACAACTGAGAAAGGAATCCCTGAAACCGAAGAGAGAAAAAAGCGATCCAAATTGAAACACAAAGAAAAAAATTGAAACACACACACCTTCCCAAACAGAGCATCCAAGATTTGTGGTATAATATCAAATGGTCTAATATATATGAAATTGGATTTCCAAAAAGAGAATAGGACAGAAGAAATATTGGAAGAGATAAAGGCCAGTAATTTCCTCCAAATAATGAAATAGTAATATGTCAAACCACATGCCCAAGAAGCTCAGAGAACCCTAAAACTCTCTAATCATTATCTGATAAATAGCCAGTCAACACACATACACACACACACACACGCACACACACAAACTCTAGACATTTCACATTTAAACTGGTTAAGGAAAACAAACACAAAGAGAGAAATCTTAAAGGCAGGCAAAGAAAAAATAGTGGAGCAAAGATAAAAACTGTAGCACACCGCAAAAACTATGCAAACTAGAAGACAATAGAGGGACGTGTTTTAATTGCTAAAAGAAAAAAAACTGTCAATTCATAATTCTATATACAGTGTAAATATCTTTCTAACATAAAGGATAAATACTTTTTGCATAAATCCAGAGGATTCATTACTAGAAGCCCTGAACAATAAGAAACGTTAAAGGAAGTAATTCAGGCATAAGTTCTTCATACCGTATAGAGACTTGGAACTATGCAAAGAAATGAAGATTCCAGAAATGGCTACAATGAAGATAAATATAAAGGACATTTTTTTTCTTTTTAATGGCTTGTAAAGATAATTATCTAAATAAAAAATAGTAGTGAATATAGGGAAAAGAGTGAGGGTCATCAGTATAGGAAATGGAGGGTAGTACTGTGGATTGATGTCATCTGTAAAAGAAAAATGTACAACCGCAACCACAGCAACACCAGTTGGGACACCACACAGAGAAAAGGGAGAATATCCTTTGAAGATAGACTGTAAGTAATTTAAGATGTACATTGACAATCGTGATTGTGGTGGTGGTTACATGACTATATGCTTTTGTCCAAACTCATAAAGCTGTAAACTTCAAGGAGTGAATTATTACCAAATATACTACATAGTTTAGCTCAAGAAACCCTGAGTTTTAAAAAGGGAAATTCTCATGCACAACTTACCTTTTTATTCTCTTGACTTTTCTTCATTTGATGTCATCTTTCTTCTACCAGATGAATCATTATGAGAAACCATCCCAAGATGGTGGCAGTCATTCCCCAGATGGTGTTGTTTAGGCTTACCATTGCTCCTTACCTTATGTGACTCAGAGGTTTTTATTTCTAACATCTCGTGGTGGAAAAGGTTCCATACCTTCGCATCAGAAGTATACACCACACACACACACACACACACACACCAGGAATTAAAATACATATGGAGCTGCAGAAATCACAATTAGACCATCAACATTCTACCTGTGTATATGGTACAGATATAAGGTATGAAAACTGACCTAGATCACACAACTAGTAACTAATCATGCAGAATGGAATGTCCTTGAGGTAGCATAAACAATAGATTTGGGTCTCTATTAGGTCACTGTTCATAGGTAAGGTCAAAAGGCCTTGAAAAATCTTTTGTCGTGAATACTAGCAATCTCTCTATTTCTGATATTTACTAAAGTTATTTCTGCTATTAAGACCTATCCATATGTCATTTCTACTACTCAGCTTCTATGCTATAGGTCAGTGGTTCTCAACCTTCCTAATGCTGTGGCCCTTTAATACAGTTCCTGTGAGTTGTGACCCACAGGTTGAGAACTGCTGCTTAGGTGCTTTTGTGCAAAATTTCAAAAGCATCTCCCCACTCCAACCAGGGTAAGTGAGAAAAGAATTTAAATGGGGTAGATGTAGCCTCAAAGTTATAAGGAGTGGCGAGCAGAGGGCGCTCTTTTCTGAACTAGAAAAAAGCTCCTTCCTCTGGGTCTATCCCAAGACACTGCTACACAACCCATATGACCAGGACCTGTGATCAGCTTTTGGAGGGACAGGCCTGGCAAAGAAGAACACTGCATTTGTGTAGAACTTTAAACAAGATTTTGAAAATGTTAGTCCTCTGTTTTAGAGAGTGGGAGAAGAGTTACCTGATCAAGGTGACAAGGCTACAAAGGACTTCCAACCCCAAGCCAGTCCTTAACTCTGCCATTGTCTCTACCTCAAACATCATCCTAACATCACCCTCCACACCCACACTTTCGCTTGCTTATGTCGTATTATCCTCCAAGTATCAGTTCAACTGTCACTTTCTAAGGAGTGGGAGGTGAGCACTGAGCCTTCAATCTAAATGAAGCTCCCTTGTTTTATGCTTTATATCCCTAAGAATTGCTTATAGATCACGTATTAGAATTGTAATTACAGTCATCCCTCAGTATCCATGGGGGTTTGGTTTCAGGATCTTCCTCAAATACCAGAATCAGGGTTTCTTGAGTGCCTGTTATAAAATGGCAAAGTATTTGCATGTCCTTCTAGGTTAAATGATATCTAGCTTACTTACAATATATAATACGATGTAAATGTTATGTAAAGAGTTGTTACTCGGTACTGTTTAGGGATTGACGACAGGAAATATCTGTACATGTTCAGTACAGAAACAATTTTTTTCAAATATTTTTGATCCAAGGTTGGTTGAATTCACAGCAGAACCCAGAGGCACTGAAGGACAACTGTATGCAGTTATTTCTGTGCTTACTTATATAATGTATGTTACTCTTCCAACCCCCTCACACATACACACACACACACATACTTAATCACTTATACATTTCTAGACCTGGGAAGAGAAGGGACCTTGTTTGTTTTGTCCATCATTTTATTCCCAGAGACTATCACAGAACCTGGCATATACTTAATGCTTAATAAGTAATCATTGAACACAGAATTTTTTCTTGTTAGATTCTTCAGAAAACCTTACTGTATACATGTGCACACTCAAGTGCATACTATGCTACTGAATGTTATGAAAACTTTTTTTTTTTTTAGAGACAGAGTCTCACTTTATCGCCCTCAGTAGAGTGCTATGGCGTCACAGCTCACAGCAACCTCCAGCTCTTGGACTTAGGTGATTCTCTTGCCTCAGCCTTCTGAGTATCTGGGACTACAGGTGCCCGCTACAACGCCCGGCTATTTTTTTGTTGCAGTTTGGCCAGGGCCAGGTTTGAACCCACCACCCTCGGTATATGGGGCCAGCACCCTACCCACTGAGCCACAGGCGCCAGGCTATGAAAACTTTTTTTTATAACATTCAGTTTTCAATTGAAGGTGAATAATTAGGACAGTGTGGGTACATGATATAAAACAAGTAATATTTTTACTTGAGTATATCTTATTTGAATTATTTCCCTTTTCTATAGATAATTTTATTGATTTTCTGTTCCCAGTAATTTTTACATCTTATGTTTGGTTGGTGGGTTCACTATAGATTCACCATTACATTCCTTTTGTGATAATAAACAATAATTCTTACAGATATCACTGAGTTACCTTAATTGGATTCATATCTCAAGGTGAAATGCCATCTTGTGACACTATTTGATTTGTAGTGTGGAGGTCTGACTCATAATTGTTATCTCTTGAAAATGAAGAATAAGTAAATAATCTAACTTCACTTACCAAATAGATTCTGCCGTAAGTTCCAAGGCCAATGGTTTTGTCCAGTGAGAATATTCCAGTTGGATCCTAGAAAAAAAAATACTGTCAATCTTCTTGAGAAAATAGGCAAGTATTCAACTACTTAAACGGTATTTCTGATCTGCCTATTCCCTTAAAATTTACATGGGAAGAACCAAAGTGTCATTCACCAAAGTAATAGACACGTCACAATTTCCCTGGACTGAGAGTAGTCATTTTTTAAAAAGAAACAATGGTATGGACATTAAGTACTTGTGTAATTAATTGCCATAAAACTGTAAAGTGCATACAGTTAAGTAAAGCTAAGGCATATTCATGATGGAATTAGACAATTAAAGTGGAAATAAGTTAATGTATTTGCAATAGAAGTCGTCTTTTAACATTTCTCTTTTGAGCCCTAACCAGACAGGAGGAAAGTTTAATGTACAGCAATGATGATTAGATGTTGCATACGAAGTATAGATGGCTTATTTGTATTATAGCAACTCTTAAGAAGAAATATATCTCTAAATACAAATAACAAAGTAAGATCGTGGCATTAAAAGAGCATCACTTGTTAAAAAAAAAGTAGAAAGTGTTGTTCTTTTGTTTTGTTTAAGTTTAATCTTTGCACTAGCTGAATCCCTTCTCATGGCACAAATAGATGTTTTCTGTGACTTAAGCCAAATGGTGACATCATAGAAAACAAAGTATAACAAGTTTAAGCACAGAGTCTTAAAGCTTCCATATTCATCCTCAAGCATTGTTTCCTTACCTTCAAATATGGGCATTCCTTTCTTGTTCACCAAAAAACATGGTTTCTTGAATTTTATCACTGCTTGAACTCTTAGTCTAGCAGCCTATTTTTGCTATTTTAGCAAAACTTATATGAGACATGAGTAGACGCCAATTAAGACACAAAATGGTAGGGACATGGGCAAGTTCTTGGAAGTTCACTATGCCTCATATAAAGCACATTTTATATACACAAACTTTGTTTAATCTCGTTCGAAAACATTTTTAATGCTGTGACAAATTTGAGCGAAACAGAAAAACTATTGAACATATGCAATGTAGATGAAAGAAATTATGGACTCCTTAAAACTGGCATGATGTTTGTGTAATGTAGCAAAACTGTCATAAGAAAATTACCCAGCTCTGGGATTACTTCAGTTAGCAAGTATTCAACTGGACAGAGTGTCAAGAGACTTAAGTTTTAGCCTCAGCTCTGCCATTAATTAACTATAAGGCTCTGGGTAAGTTATTTACTCTCTCTGGGATTCAGTTTTCACATATATAAAATGAAGGCATTGTGTTAGGTAATTTTCCAAGCTCTAAATTTCTATAGGAAAAATATCATCTACCATTCTAAGATCCAGATGTTTCTACTGGATTGATACAACCATTGTTAGAGAAAACAGCAGCACAGCAGCTTACTTTCTCAAATGGTCATTAAAGTGAATGTCACAGCAGACACAGTTATGATTGTAAGCAAACAGTTCACGGAACATACTCCCAGTGAAAATGTGCAAGTTATTTAAAATGTTCGTTTTTAGCATTAAAAAGGGAAAAGTAGATTGTTATAGTGCTTTTGATATTAAGCATTATCAGTTTTGTTATTACTCATTGAAAGATTTATGGAGGAAAAGCAAACAAAAAAGTTACTAAGGACCAGCTTGAAGACTTTATCATTTTAGCATATCTCTTTGAAGGATATCATTGAGGGATTTATTTCAGACTTTATTAATTCTGGAGAAAAAAGCCTCTGGTCATCTGTCAAAAGAATCAAAGATGTTAGCCAATTCCTATTGGTAAACCATTCCTTGTTAAAGCTGCATTTTACCTGAAAAAGATACCATATATTAGAGCATTATTGCATTGTCTGTACAAGCTTTATTTCTGAATCTTTGGGCACAGCCTCAAGTTTCTCTAATCTATTTTCTAGCCCTCAATAATATAAGTACCTTATTCAGATATGAACTCAGGCATCTAATTACTCAAAAGAGACACTAAGGCAATAGGCCGGGATGATAAAATGCCTCCAAAAATTCATGGAGCCCTTATTTCATCTATATTTCTGTTGTCAAGAAACTTTTTCCTGCTCACAAATGATGAAACCATCTTATTTAAATGCTCATATTTAATAAGAGAAAATTTTAAAATTTCCTTTGTTCTTAAGGCAGCTCTACCTAGTATTCATGTAACCTAAGACTATATTGTTTTCATTAGTTATATCTGATATTTTTTTCCCTATCTCCATGCTACTTTTTTCTTTTTACAAAGTTTGGATTAATACGAGGGTATGTGTTACTATCTTTTAAGATTAAATGTTAAATTAAGTTAAAAAAGGGAGAAGGACGATACTAATTACCAAGTTATCGTGTTTTCCACTTACAGTCACAGCAAGTATATTCTTGGCTCCCTAGGAAGTAAGCATTAAAAAGGAACCCTCTTTCTAGGCACTGGGAAATTAAGAGGTCTCTATCAGAGGGGCCCCCTTAATTACTTGGTCCTGTCCTCTACCCTGCCACCCTGAGATAAGAAAACCAGAAGAAGAAAGATGTTCCTATCTATGACTGCTTTATCAGTTTGGAGATTATTTGGGGGGTTGTAAGTGTTGGTGTCACCTTACATAAACAAAATGGTCAGTAAAGAATAAACCCTGATTTCTAAAGCCTTTTTCAAAAGAAATAACTAAAAGTCTAAGTCTTAAGACATTTTGAAATCATAAACTGTTAAGACAAATACTTGATGCATTTGTGATATTTTTCTACATTATCTAAATTATCTCCTGAAATTTACCAGCCCTACTTTGGCTGCCTGGTGAAACCTAGAATTTTAGGGAGTTGTTTCTGTGTCATGAATTCAAGAGAGGAGGGGAGGAGGAGCACCTTGATGACTAATTTTGATAAAAGCCAGGAGTGGGGGTAACAGGAAGAAAATGAGCCACTAGAAGGCAGTATGTTAACTGGTCAAGAGAGAGAAGTTCAAAGCAGGAACTGCTCAACAGAACAAAATATGGCAGAGATTAAGGAGAAAAGGGAATTGAAAATGGTCAACTTGTGTCGCTAGAAAATTTCAAATTTAGGATAGTAAAGAGGGAGAATGAGAGAATGTGTCCCAGGAATTAGGTAGCAGGAAAAGAAGGAAAGAAATCGCACAGTACCTATGATAGAAGCAGATAGCAGAGGTTGTCCTTCCTCTTTTAACGTTAGAAACAGTGATTTTATATAAAAGGTTTGTGAAAATAGTGGCTATGACAAGATAAGTGCCAGAGTAGATTTCAGAGAAAGTTGGAAGAATGAGCTTCATAATTCAAGTGCAGAGTTTAGAATTCTAGAACTCTTCCCCGGGACCAGTGTTTCTCAAACTGTGGACTGCACAGACTCTCCCTACATGAGAATCATCTGGGAAATCTTGTTAAAAATACAGATTCCTTGGGCATAGCAGGGAATTATGAAATCAGAATACCCAGGAAATGTCCTCAAATCCCTAGATGATTCTGGATTCTCGTGTACTATACTTGTGCACTAACATATGAAAACCACTTCAATAGCAACTGGGTAAAAAAAAAAAAAATGACAAAGTAGATCGAAGCTTAGTATTATGCTAAAGCGATGCTCTATATGTATGAAGGATGTGCTGAATTTATCAATCCTAGTGGACTTGAAGGTAAAAACTGCTTCCAAATGGGGGCTAAGCGACTTGGTAAAGTGGGAAGTTTCTCATGACCAAGTGTGGAAAGCGGGCTTGGTCTGGGTGGTCGAAAACTGGGAAAGCTGACAGTTATATTTAAATATAAACCTAATGTAATTCAAATATAGTGTTTGGATCATGTGCTATTTCAGATCACCTCTGCCACTACTGTCCTCAAGGCCTGTCTAATCCTGACCCCAATATAGATTAGGACTACACATGGCAGTGTCAAAATACCACGGCCACAGCCGTTGAGGAAGTGAGGAATGTCATTACCATACTGGGCACAGAAGGCAAAGGGGACGATTATAGTGAAAGACATGCCAGATTTGGAAATGAAGGGATAGTTTCCAGTCTCAAGGATGAGGGCATCCTAGGAAAAAGAAATTAAATGCATATATAGATGCACACCCAGGTATTGATGGTGGGCAATACATTCACATTACAAGGATATGTATAAAGACACAGGCTTCGCAATTCTCTTTTCAGGAAGAAAGCACAAACCACATTTTTTTTGCACTCTCTTTTTTGACTTAGCACTTCTAGAAAACATTCATTCAATAGAAAATCATTAAAAATTACTGTAACCCATTAATTAACAAGCATAATGAAATTGACCTATTGTTGAATGGTAATTACATTGGTTCTCTATGTCTCTAACTTGAGGGCATTATGCAAAAAAAAAAGTTATTATCATTATAGAAAAGTTTTTTTTTAATTTTAAAAGTTATATAATTTTCTCCCCCTTGTTGGCTTCCCCAGATTTCACTCCTAATTACATTTTAGGTTTAAAAATAATATCCATCTAATAACAAATATATCCAATAACGTTCTGCCACTTTCTTTAAATCCCAATTTGCACAGCAAGCCTGGTCATTTTGCTTGGTTAGGCCTACAAAGAACATACTTTAACAATGTTAAATTACACCCATATTTTAATCATTTGTCTGTATTTTGCAAGATTCTTTTTGCTCAATTTGAAATGCCAAGGTTTGCATTTCCCCTCATGGTCTGGCAATTGCCAAATTGGTATCCTTGGTGTTGACAGATGACAATTTTCTGACCTTCACGCATGTCGTACACTCGTACACGTATTGATAATTATCGCAAGGGACACACCACCTTAGGTAGACTTCTTTGCTTGTTGTATCAACTCTGCATCAAAATGTAAAGTACAACACAGCTCACTCAGATGGCTCTTCACCTCTTCATTGGCTTTTAGTTCTTCAAAAGGTCAGGAAATAAGGTGAATATAAAGAAACCCCAAATCCCTGAAATGTAACTCAGTGACCAAAGCAAAAACAACTTTCCCACCTCTAAAAATTAGATAGGGAAGGAAATTCTGAAGGATACGCTGCTCTTCTGCTAAATTTTTCAGGGTTAGGATCTGGGTGTTTGGGAAGAGGGGGAAAAATATGTATAATTTGTTCAGACAATAAAGACCTCCGCATGGGACAAAATGGCTCACATATAAAATTTAGAAATCGTCAGTCATGGAGTCTGTAAAATGAGGTGAGGCATCAAGTCCCCTGAGATTTTGTATCTTCTCCCTACTCACCCTACAGTAAAAACAACCTTATCTTTTTCTACTCCCGCCCCCCCATCCTCCCCCTACCCTCCAGAACACTAATAGTCCACTGAGCTGCAATGTAAAGATTGCAGCCTTTCCCCTCATCTTTTGGGCTCCAGCAAACACCAAATTCTTATGTCTCAGGGCCATGGGCAGGTCAGTTAGTCTGGGCCATTCCCCCCCCTCCTTTTTTTCTGTAGCAATAAAACCTTTTCTTCTTTTTCTCCTTGGGTTTGGAATTCCCGGCCCTATCATTTCTATGAGGTCTTTCCCATTCCTCTCTTTAGTCATTTTTAGAAAGGAGTTTATTTCAGTTTACCCATGTGTGGTTTCACATATCTGCCTGAGTTTGCTTTTTTTTTCTTGGCCCCCTCCCCACCATAAAGAGAATGCTGGTGGGCGGTGACATTTAATTTCTCAATTTTACACTTTTACTTAGGAGCAAATTTAATCTGAATATAAAAGTTCTGCTCAGAAAGGAAAGCATCAATTGAGGCCTCCATATTCCAGAAAGCTCATGTATGCACACTGAAAGGAAGACATCTTTGGTGTATGCGGGGTGGGAAAATTTTAATTTTTAAAAGTTCTGTGACTTTATTTTATGAAGCTGAATAAATAATCACGGCGCTGATATTTGTAACTCAACGTATTTGTATTGTGGTTTGTAGACGGCAAAGAACAATTTGCTAAAATGTTGTCCATGAGCATCATCACCCCTTCCCTGGTTTCGAGTGTAAAATTATACAGGCGGCGAGGCTTTGGGAATACCCCGTTTTTTCAGGGAGGCAGGCGTCCGTCATCATTAAAAACACAGTTTTTAAATGCCAAGTATGTATAATATTAAGCCAGTGCGACTTTGAATAGTCCTATAACCTCAAGGTTAATATTTAGCTTTTCCCAAAGCAAGCAGGCCACTGCCCTGCACTACAGTTGCCTGGCGATCATTCCAGTACCGTGCCTGCTTTTTTTTTCCCTTTCGGAGAGTCAGGGGCCTTTTGCATTCAAGAGAGGGTGCAAGTGAAATGCCAATCTAAAACGGGAACTTGAAACACGGATTTGGGTGAGATCCAATATCAGCCAGAAACCAGATGCCAATGAAATAAACGGCACTGCTAAAATAATAAGTCTACTAATAACGATGGCGATAATAGCTCGCCAATCAATTACAACTCTGGACGAAAGCTGGGCATTTGGGAAAAGAGAATCCACAAATGAAAACCTCAAGAAAAAGCTTAATCAGGTTAGCCGTGGGGCACCATACATTTTTTTTAAGTTGGGGTGTGCAGAATTCACTTTTCCCCTCAAAGGCGTCAAGTTCTTTCACCTCCTACAACACTTAATGGGGAGCACTGCCCTGGCAAGAATAAGAAGATTTTGGAAAGTGCTGTTAGAAAGTGAGAGAAGTGAGACTCCCACGCTTTAATTTTTTAGCCTGTCGTCACCTAAAAGTAAAGGTCACCTCATAAGTAGGCATCTCGGCGGCAACAGCCGCAGCAAAGAATGGGGTGTCGGGGTAACAGAGAGGAATGCTCTCAGGAAGCCACGCGACTTCTTTCGCGTTTTGGCCTTTCCTGAAGCCCGGCCGGGACAGGTACCAGAGAGCCGCTGGACAACAGGCATTTAGAAAATGTCCTGCGGTTTAAGGCAGCAAGCACCCCCTTGCCACCTCTTCTCTCCCCAGACACCCGGTGGCTTGGCTTTTCCCAGAAGTTTGGCAAGGCTCCCTACCCAGGGGGCGCTTTTTCCTCACGCCGGCGCCCAAGGTCCCCTCCGCGCCTGGGAGACCCGTCGAAGTTCTAGTCTATCCTGGCTTGAGGGGGGTCCCTTCCCGGTGCTCAGATCCCGCACAAAGAGAGCACTTCGGGGCGATGGGCGTCCTCTACTTACTGGCAAGTGGCCCAGATCCGTGACCTCCTTGTCCCTCCAGCCTCCAGGTCCCGCCATGGCTTCGAGACGAACGCGAGCGGGCGACCGAGTTGGGAGGGTGCGGGGAGTCTGAAGCGGACGCCGACTAGGAGTTGACTAGGGAGAGGGGAATGGGGAGGGAGGGAGAAAGGAGTGGGGGATCGGAGTTTGCGGGATGGGAGGCGGAGGAAGGGAAAGTGGAGGGAAATGAGCTGGGAGTGGAGGGAAGCCGGAGTTTGCGAGGCGGGAAAGCAAGTTGGGCTGGGGCGAGAGTAGAGAGTCTGAGCGTCGGTCCCGGAGACGAACGCGCTGGAAGGGTGCTCCGCAGCGAGAGCGCAGCGTCTGTCCCGGCAGGGTGCGCCTCTTTCAGGGTGGGGAGGGGGGCGGTGCAAGGAGAGGGGCCCCCGGCAGCTCGAAAGGGATTGGTGCAGCGTCACGTCGCCAGGTGGGCCGCCGCGCGCGGCGCGGAGGCAGGCTGGGGGGGGCCACCGGCGAGGGAGGTGCCCAAGGACTCTAACGGTTCCCGAGCGGGCCCTTGGCCGCCGCCCCCGCCCTCCTGCCCCCTCCCACGTCCACTGCTGCGCCCGCCGCCCCCGCCCCCGCCCCCGCTGGCGAGTGTTCCACAGGAAACTTTTTCGAGGCAGCTGCCAGCCCCGGAAAACCGGTCCCGCTCAGCGCCGCTCCCAGCCTGGGCCCCACGGCTCTGCCACAGTCCAAACAGCCCGCGCCCTGGTCTCCCCAAGAAACACTTGTGACTTTTCTAGTTGTCTGTTTTCCCTTTCTGCCCCTCTGATTTTATTGCTCCATTTAATGCAAAGACCCACCAAGTTAAAGAAGGAAATGACTCGCCGCCGGGTTAGGGCATCAGACCTAGGAGAGCCCCTGTGCAATCGGAGGAAGGCACCGACTGCGCCCCAGGGCTGTTAAAGCTGGGCCTTCGAAGCCACTTGCCGAGGTCAGTGCAGAACCTGCAGAGCCGCAGCGAAGCCCCCTCCAAGCGAGCCGCAGCTCTTACGGCCCCAGGCTAGTTAGTGCCGGACCAGGCGGCTCCCTCGGAACAGCACCTGTTCTCAGGTGCTTGGTGTTAGGAAAGACCGAATGAGTCTCTGAAGTCCTGGCGGCCCTGAGTCTGAAGTTTGCTGACGCGTTCGCAACCCGCGGAGAAAGTTCCTGCGTCCTTCCCTGTCTCTAGCGTTCCGGCCGGGTTTCATTCATTTGCTCATTCATTGCAGAACGTTTCGGGCGCCCAGGTTGTTTGCCTCTGGTTTCCCCCCAAACGCCGGGAGCCTGACACACGGTTTAAAATAATCTGACAAACGTGATTCAGCCTTGAGAAGTAAGGCGCCCCTTGAAGCATTTATGGGAAAGGGAGTCGGTGCGTAAAACTAACCGCATTCTAAGCTCTCGCACTGCAAAGAGCACTTTAGAAAATGTCCCAGAACTGCTTACTTTCCCTGAACTCACCGACTGCGTTCTGCGCTCCAGAACTCCGGGATCTGAACGCGAGGTGGGGGGATTTGGTTCCTGTTTCTTTCTTCTTTTTTAAATTAGGAATTCCCCTTCTCCTCTACAAGTAGATTTAATACGAATAATTCTTCCCACTGACTTCAAACTCACCATTTCTAACCTGCTCTCCTAATTTCTGTGATTATTTTCTTTGTATGTCGATGGATTTTGTTTATTTCGTGTGTTTCAGTGCCAAACTTTGACCTCTTTACATTCCTTAACCTCTGAGCCTCGGTGAGCTGTGTAATGGCCACAGACTGAGGAACCGGGTCTCGCTAAAGAAAGAAAATTCTCTGTTAACGGGTGCGAAGAAAAGCCACTACCACCTCCCAAAAAAAAACAAACCCGGGTGTTCTGGATCGAATTTTCTCGTTAATTCAAATGTGATATAAACCACTACAGGAATTACATTTTCCAATAATTCAAATCTTGACAACTCCACTACACAAAATCCTGTCCCTTTAAAACATAGTTTAAGAGTTCTTGGATGATCAGTATAACGTTTCTGGATCTTTCTAAATGTGAGTCTGAAGTTAACATTTCCTAACTAGAGAAGGGCAGGTGAACTAGTTAATAGAAAATTACACTTTTATGTACACACTTAGTTTTGACAAAGAAGTCACGGAGTGAAGAAATACAACATTTAAAGGAACTCTGAAGACAATCTTTGCTACAGGGAAGAAGTGTTCATGAGTTAAGACAGTATTTTTTTTTCTCTTAACAATGCGGTTTGCTGAATGTAGGTTGTGGGGAAATGCCCCGTGGCCCCCGATGGCAAAGACTGCTTTAGCCTGTCTAAGGGGCAAGTCCAGACCAGGCAAAAGAATCCAGGATAGATCATTGGCCTCTCTAGTTGCAAGACTCCGTGGGAGGCTAGCGGCTTCAAGACTCCATAGGGATTAGCCACTTCCCCGGATGGGACCCCCCTCTGGGTAGGGGGGAGGGGAAGCTAAGGGTTTGACCAGAACTTGACAGAGAACCTAAACATTTTTTTAAGTTATTATTTTCAAGGAAAAAGTAGGCGTGGAAGACCCTGGAAACTGCCTTCTAAGCTGACATTATGGTGTTGTTTTTTTTTTTTTTTTCTTGTGGCCGGCCTGGGGAAGGTCAGCCCCTCTAACAGACCAGAAAGTAAATAAATGGCCGCGGGTCATGGGGCTCAGCCTCCAGCACAACCTTGAAATGGGGCACTTGTTTTGTAACCTCATAGCTTTTGTCCCCATCACGCCACAGCCATCATCTCCCTTCCTCCCTCGTAATATGTTCTTTTAGTCTCTCTTTCTTTCCTGACCTCAAACTACAAAAAATAAATAGATAAATAATAACTCTAGTCTGTCCAATGTTCAATAACTTGTCAAATTGTGCTCTACCCTGAGATGGTCTGTCTGCCAACGATAAAGGTCCCATATTTATTCCATCCCTTCCTCTTCTGATCCATTCTGTTATCGTAAAAACCCTGAGGTCTTTGGAAATTTTGACAGTATTTTTAAATAATTAAAATTGATGGAGTGCTTACTGAATGAGCCAGACTAAGTGCTTCACATATATTATCTCATTTAATTTTGTCGAAAATTCTTCCAGACTTCAAATTATTATTACCATAGCATAGTCAAGGAAATTGAGGCACAGAGAGATGAAGTAACTTGCCTAAAGCCTCACAGCTAGTAATTGGAGGAGCCTGGCTTCCAACTCAGGCAGTCTGACTCCAGAGCCCACTTGTCAATGACTATTGAAGGGCCGGTGCATATTTTGAGACCGTGTGAAGAGGAGCCAAATTCAAAAAAGCCCCAGGGTAAGAGAGATCAGATGACATTAGCTAGGGCCCTGAGCTATTCAGTTCCCCGTCCCCTTTCAGCCCTCAAGCCCTCCAAACAGAAATAACATGGGCATTATAAAAAGAAATGGAGCCCAGTCATAGTCTCAGAGTAGCCACTGACTGACTGAGCAGAGATCACGCAGTGGATCACTTGATGGGGCAAAATCATGGATTTCAAGCTTAAGAAATGTCCAGGAAAAAAACCCCAGCAATTTTCAATGCTTAAAAAAATTAAAATCCATTCCCTTTCCTTCCAGAGAGTTTTTTTGACCAGGAAAAATGTTATTCAGTGAGGACCTGAAGGAGGCTGTGTTTTTGACATGAGATGCTAAATGGCAAGGTTACCGCCTGTTAGCTCAGTTGGTAAGACTACCATAAAGCCAAGGGCACGGGTTTGATTCCCCAGAAGGCCAGTATGCATCTCTCTGCCCTTGATAGCGCCTTCGCTCTTGCAAGCCAGCCAGTGTGCTTTTTACTGGAACAACAACTACAATGTCAGTACTTCCATCTGTGTATACAAATTAAAAATCACATTTTTTTTTTTTTTTGACCAGAGTGTTGCTCTGTAACCCGGGCTAGAGTGCAGTAGTGTCATCATAGCTATGAACAACCTCAAACTCCTGAGCTGAAGCAATCCTCCTGCCTCAGCCTCCCAAGTAGCGGGGACTACAGGTGCCCACCCACTACGCACAGCTAAGTTTTTCTATTTTTAGTAGAGATGGGCTCCCACTCTTGCTCGGGTTGCTCTTGAATTCTTGACCTCAAACAATCCTCCTGCCTTGGCCTCTCAGAGTTCTAGGATTACAGGTGTGAGCCACTGCACCTGGCTCACATGTTCATTTTTAAATATAAATTACTTATCACTATAGTCTGAAGAAATTACACTACCAGTGCATGTATGTGTTATGAAAAATATAGATTCCAAAGCTTTTTGGTTGTTTTTTCTTCTTTTTATTTATGCATTTCAGATTGATGGTATATATTTTAATAGACACTTATTTAGAAACCTGAATCTCATAAAACACTTCATTAAAAATTTTAAGTAAGCAAAAAATGCCTATCATTGACTGGGTTTCCTCTACTCTGACACCTCACATATGAAAAGGATTCCACGTCTGGCAAACTTCTATTTGCCTTACTGGGTCCTGGAATACACCTGGGTCAGCCTATCTGAAAGACCCCCACGAAGGTCCTGAGAGAGAGGAAACTTCTGTAGGAACCACTTGATGAAAAGACCTCTGGAGCTTTTCTCTCTTCCTTTTGGAGACACATTTGAAACTATAGGATATCCACTGTAGCTCCTAATACTCTTACCATTACTACTTTTGATTTTTCCTATTTGTCACTCCTTTGGAAACAAAGCAGCAAGCCACCTACTGTTTCTTAGACTGAAGGTCGTGAAATGTGCCTTCTGACCAAAGTCTGTGAAGCTTCTGTTGCTTGGGATGGAATGCTCTTAAGCTCGGCATGGTTTGAGCTATGCTTGTTTCTAAAATGGGGCCCTGGAAACCTGATCCTAGCCAAACACGGGTCTCCTGGCTATTGAAAACTGGAATGCTATTCTAAAAAAAGACAATTATTTTATAAAGAAAACTAAAACAGGGAAATTAAAACCAAAAGTCAAATTTCTAAAGGTGGTCACAAAAAAAAGCTTTTTTTTTTTTTTTTTTTTGTCTTTTCCATCTTTGGAGGCCATACTATCGTCTTCCAGGAATTC